TGCCCACCTGCTCCTCGCTGTGCACGGGCACCCAGGTGAGGTTGGGCACGTGCAGCTCGTCGCTGCCGGGCGCCAGGCGCCGGATCTCGAGCTCGGAGGCGCGCTGCCCGCGGGCCAGCAGCAGGTCGCGCAGGCCCTCGTTGTAGATCTCCAGGAAGCTGGCCGAGAAGCCGTACTGAGGGCGCGGCGGCGCTGCCGGGCCCGCCCCGGCCGTGCCAGCCCCAAATCCGGCGCTTCTCGGGAATTACCTGCCAGCCCTTGCCCGCCAGGTCGCGGGCGCCCAGGAACAGGTGGCGCACGGCGCGCGGGATCATGCCCCGCGACTCCGGCGCGCCCGGCGGCGCCGGCCCCTCCATGGTGAAGGTCTTGCCGCTGCCCGTCTGCCCGTAGGCGAAGATGCACACCGGGTACCCGTCCAGGGCCGACTGCAAGGGGAATTTGGGAATTCAGGAATTGGGAATGCTCAGGGGGTTTGGGAATGGTCACAGGGAACATTCCCAGGGTCGTGCCCCGGGACTCGGCCCCTCCATGGTGAAGGTCTTGCCGCTGCCCGTCTGCCCGTAGGCGAAGATGCACACCGGGTACCCGTCCAGCGCCGACTGGAAAGGGAATTCCGGGATTCAGGAATTGGGAATGGGCAGAGAGATTTGGGAATGGTCACAGGGAACATTCCCAGGGTGGTGCCCCAGGACTCGGCCCCTCCATGGTGAAGGTCTTGCCGCTGCCCGTCTGCCCGTAGGCGAAGATGCACACCGGGTACCCGTCCAGCGCCGACTGGAAAGGGAATTCCGGGATTCAGGAATTGGGAATGCTCAGGGGGATTTGGGAATGCTCAGGGGGGTTTGGGAATGGTCACAGGGAACACTGACCCATCCAGGGCCAGCTGCCAAAGGGAATTCCGGGATTCAGGGGCATTGGGAATGGTCAGAGAGATTTGGGAATGGGCACAGGGAACACTGATCCATCCAAGGCCGACTGCCAAAGGGAATTCCGGGATTCAGGGGGATTGGGAACACTCAGGGGGGTTTGGGAATGGTCACAGGGAACACTGACCCATCCAGGGCCAACTGCCAAAGGGAATTCCAGGATTCAGGGGGATTGGGAACGCTCAGGGGGGTTTGGGATGGACAAAGGGAACACTGACCCATCCAGGGCCGACTGCAATGGGAATTCTGGAATTCAGGGGAGTTTGGGAATGGTCAGAGAGATTTGGGAATGGGCACAGGGAACACTGACCCATCCAGGGCCGACTGCAATGGGAATTCTGGAATTCAGGGGAGTTTGGGAATGGTCAGAGAGATTTGGGAATGGGCACAGGGAACACTGACCCATCCAGGGCCGACTGCCAAAGGGAATTCTGGGATTCAGGGGGATTTGGAATGGTCACAGGGGTTTGGGAATGGTCACAGGGAACACTGACCTGTCCAGGGCCGACACCAACAGGAATTTGGGAATTCGGGGGGTTTGGGATGGGCAGAGGGATTTGGGAACATTCAGGGGGATTTGGGGACGGTCAGGGGAATTTGGGAATTCGGGGGGTTTGGGATGGGCAGAGGGAACACTGCCCTGTCCAGAGCCCACTGGGAAAGGGAATTCAGGATTTGGGAATGGGCAGGGGGGGTTGGGAATGCCAGCGGATCAGGGGGTTGGGAATTTTTGTGGCATTTGAGGGGAACTAAGCAGGATTTGGGTGGAATTTTGGGGATTTTGGGATGCAGGTGGACATTTGGGATTTTTGGGGCACACACCCGCAACAGGAGATGGATTTGGATGGATTTTGGGTGGAATTTGGGGGATTTTGGGCTCAGACCTGCACGAGCAGCTGGATCTCCTGGCAGATGTCCTGCTGGGATTTTGGGGGGAATTTCAGGGATTTTGGGCACAGAGCTGCACGAGCAGCTGGATCTCCTGGAAGATGTCCTGCTGCGAGGCCCCCGGCGGGAAGACGCGGTCGAAGCTGAAGTCGTAGCGCAGCTCCGCGCGCCGCTCCCGCCCCACCTGGGACTGGGGCAAAAAAGGGCAATTTTGGGCAAAACCAGCAACTGGGGGGGGAAAATGGGATTTGGGGCAAAAAAAAATGGGTTTGGGGCAAAAAAACCCCGGGTTTTGGGGAGAAAAAAGCCTCCCGCCCCACCTGGGACTGGGGCAAAAAAGGGCAATTTTGGGCAAAACCAGCAACTGGGGGGGAAAATGGCATTTGGGGCAAAAAAAATGGGTTTGGGGCAAAAAAAAATGGGTTTTGTGCAAAATAAAATGGGTTTTGGGGAGGAAAAAGGCTTTTTTTGGGGAAAGAAGCGCCTTTTTTTGGGGGAAAATGTAATTTTTTTTTTGAAGGGGAAAAGCCAATTTTGGTGGGAAATAATTGATTTTCCAGTCTCCCAAAAAATCTCATTTTTTGGGGAAAAAGGGGGAGGTTTGGGGGAAAAACATCAAGTTTAAGACGAAGAGGGTTGGGGGGGAAAATGTATTTTAACGAAAAAAATTTTGTGGGGAAGGGAAAAAAAGGGATTTGGGGTAAAAAAAAAGGGATTTGGGGCTAAAAAGGGGATTTAGGGTAAAAAAATGGGATTTGGGAGAAAAAAAAAGGGATTTTGGGGAGGAAAGTCTTTTTCTTTAAGGAAAAATGAGATTTTTTTTGAGGGGGAAAAGCCAATTTTGGTGGGAAATAATTGATTTTTACGCCCAAAAATAAATCTCATTTTTTGGGGAGAAAGGGGCAGGTTTGGGGGACAAAGGGTTGGGGGGAGAAAGCATTTCAACAGAAAAATTTTGTGGGGAAGGGGGAAAAGGGATTTGAGGTAAAAAATGGGGTTTGGGAGAGGTAAAAAGATATTTTGGGGAAAAAGGGGGAGGTTTGGGGGAAAAACATCAAGTTTAAGACGAAGAGGGTTGGGGGGAAAATGTATTTTAACGAAAAAAATTTTGTGGGGAAGGGAAAAAAAAGGGATTTGGGGTAAAAAAAAAAAGTATTTGCAGCTAAAAAAGGCTTTGGGGAGAAAAAAAGGGATTTGGGTAAAAAAAAAGGGATTTGGGAGAGGAAAAAAGGGATTTTGGGGAGGAAGAAGTCTTTTTTAGGGGAAAAATGTGATTTTTATTGAGGGGGAAAAGCACATTTTGGGAGGAAACCACTCTTGTGGGGAAGGGGGAAAAGGGATTTGAGGTAAAAAATGGGGTTTGGGAGAGGTAAAAAGATATTTTGGGGAGGAAAAACTCTTTTTTAGGGTGAATAATGTGATTTTTTTGAGGGAGAAAAGCTGATTTTCGGGGGAAATAATTGTTTTTTCAGCCCAAAAATAAATCTCATTTTTTGGGGAGAAAAGGGGTCAGTTTTGGAAGAAAAACATTAAGTTTAGAGGAAGAGGGTTGGGGGGAAAAATGTATTTTAACAGAAAAAAATTTTGTGGGGAAGGGAAAAAAAAGGGATTTGGGGTAAAAAAAAAGGGGTTTGGGAGAGGAAAAAAGGGATTTGGGGAGGAAAAACTCTTTTTTCGGGTGAATAATGTGATTTTTTTTGAGGGGGAAAAGACCATTTTGGGGGGAAAATCACTGATTTTTCAGCCCCCCAAAAATAAATCTCATTTTTTGGGGAGAAAGGGGCAGGTTTGGGGGAAAAACATCAATTTTAGGAGGAAGAGGGCTGGGGGAAAATGTATTTTAACAGAATAAATTTTGTGGGGAAGGGAAAAAAAAGGGGATTTGGGGTAAAAAAAAAGAGATTTGGGGCTAAAAAAGAGATTTGGGGTAAAAAAAGGGGTTTGGGAGAGGTAAAAAGGAATTTTGGGGAGGAAAAACTCTTCTTTAGGGGAAAAATGTGATTTTTATTGAGGGGGAAAAGCATATTTTGGGGGGAAATCGCTGATTTTTCAGGCCCAAAAATAAATCTCATTTTCTGGGGAGAAAGGGGCAGGTTTAGGGGAAAAAACATCAATTTTAGGAGGAAAAATAGCATTTTAACAGAAAAAAAATTTTGTGGGAAAAGGCAAAAAAAGGGATTTTGGTTTGGAAAGGATTTTGGGTTTCTTGGGAAAAAGGAGATTTGGGGAAAAGGGATTTGGGGGGAAAAAAGGGATTTTGGGGTTAAAAAAGGGGTTTGGGAGAGGTAAAAAGGGGTTTTGGGAAGGAAAAACTCTTTTTTAGGGTGAATAATGTGATTTTTTTTGAGGGGGAAAAGACCATTTTGGGGGGAAAATCACTGATTTTTCAGCCCCCCAAAAATAAATCTCATTTTTTGGGGAGAAAGGGGCAGGTTTGGGGGAAAAACATCAATTTTAGGAGGAAGAGGGCTGGGGGAAAATGTATTTTAACAGAATAAATTTTGTGGGGAAGGGAAAAAAAAGGGGATTTGGGGTAAAAAAAAAGAGATTTGGGGCTAAAAAAGAGATTTGGGGTAAAAAAAGGGGTTTGGGAGAGGTAAAAAGGAATTTTGGGGAGGAAAAACTCTTCTTTAGGGGAAAAATGTGATTTTTATTGAGGGGGAAAAGCATATTTTGGGGGGAAATCGCTGATTTTTCAGGCCCAAAAATAAATCTCATTTTCTGGGGAGAAAGGGGCAGGTTTAGGGGAAAAAACATCAATTTTAGGAGGAAAAATAGCATTTTAACAGAAAAAAAATTTTGTGGGAAAAGGCAAAAAAAGGGATTTTGGTTTGGAAAGGATTTTGGGTTTCTTGGGAAAAAGGAGATTTGGGGAAAAGGGATTTGGGGGGAAAAATGGGAATTTGGGGAAAAAAGACCTTTTTTGAAGGAAAAAAAACCATTTTGGCAAGGAAAAAAGCTGATTTTGGGAGGAAAATCCATTTATCCAGTCAAAAAACCCAAATTTTTGAGGGGAAAAAAGCCACTTTTGAGGGGAAAAAGGCCTTTTTTGGTAATGTGGGGATTTGTGGGAAAGGAACATTTTTGAGAGAAAAAACAAAAGATATTTGGGGGGAAAATAATGATGTTTTTTAGAAAAGAGGCTTTTCATGGAAAAAAGGTATTTTTGAGGGAAAAGTGATTTTTTTTGAGGGAAAAAAATAATTTTTTTGAGGGGAAAAAGGGGAAAAAAAACCATTTTGGCAAGGAAAAAAGCTGATTTTGGGAGGAAAATCCATTTATCCAGTCAAAAAACAGAAAAAAAGAATATTTGGGGGGAAAATAATGATGTTTTTTAGAAAAGAGGCTTTTCATGGAAAAAAGGTATTTTTGAGGGAAAAGTGATTTTTTTGAGGGAAAAAATGATTTTTTTGAGGGAAAAAGAGTATTTTTGAGGAAAAAAATTGTGGTTTTGAAGGAAAAAAGGATTTTTTTGAGGAAAAAAGATATTTTTGAGGGAACAGTAACAGTTTTGAGGGGAGAAAGAACATTTTTTGGGGGGGAAAAGGCCATTTTTGGGAAATGAGGGCTTTTTGAGGGTGTTTTTGAGGGACAAAAAGACATTTTTGAGAGGAAAGCAGAATATTTTTGGTGGAAAATATAGAAAATAGAAGAGTTTTGATTTAAAAAGTGCATTTCTGAGGGGAAATAAAGGACAATTTGGAGGAAATAAAGACTTTTTGGGTAATAGGGGATTTTTGAGGGGAAAAAAAGACATTTAAGGGGTAAAAAGAACATTTTTTCAGTGAAGAAACGCAGTTTTGTGAGAAAAAATGAGGTTTTTTGGGGAAAAGAAGAGCATTTTTGGGGGTTAAAAGGACATTTCTGAGGAGTAAAAAGCACATCTTGGGGAGAAACAAAAAGAAATTTATTCAGAAGGAAGAAACCATCAAGTTTTGAGAGGAAAAGACATTTTTGATGGAAAATAAACCATTTTTGAGGGAAAAAATTGACATTTTCGGAAAAAATCCCAGATATCTCTAAGGAGAAAAAAGGGCTTTTTTTGGAAATAGGGATTTTGGAGGGAATTAAGGCAGTTTTTGAGAGGGGAAAAAGGGCATTTTTGGAAAATCAGGGATTTTTGAGGGAAAAATGCCATTTTGGAGAGAAAGAAAAGCCATTTCTGAGGGTAGAAAAAAGGATTTATTGGAAAATTAGGGATTTTGCAGGGAAAACAGCCATTTCTGAGGGAGGAAGAGAAGAATTTTTGGGAAATCAGGGAACTTGGAGGGAAAAAGGCCATTTTTTGGGAATGAAGGCAATTTTTCAGGGTGGAAAAAAGGCATTTTTGGAAAATCAGGGATTTTTTTGGAAGGAAAAAGGCCACTTTTGACGGAAAAAGGGGAATTTTTAGGGAAGCAGGAAGTTTTGAGGGGAAAAAGGCCATTTTTGAGGGAAAATTGAGGAGAAAAGGCCACTTTAAGGGTGGAAAAAAGAAATATCGGGGAACAGGGGATTTTTGAGGGAAAAAGGCCATTTTGAGGGGAAATTGAGGGGAAAAGGCCATTTTTATGGGTGGAAAAAAGAAATTTGGGGGAACTGGGGATTTTTGAGGGAAAAAAGCCATTTTTGAGGGCGGAATAGAGGAACTCTTGGGCAACAGGGGATTTGTGAGGGAAAAAGGCCATTTTTAAGAGTGAAAAAAAGAAATGCTGGGGAAATCGGGGATTTTTGAGGGGAAAAAAGCCATTTTGAGGGCGGAATAGAGGAATTCTTGGGCAACAGGGGATTTGTGAGGGAAAAAGGCCATTTTTAAGAGTGGAAAAAAGGAATTTTTGGGAAACCAGGGATTTTGTTGAGGGAAAAAGGCCATTTTTGAGGGACAATTGAGGGAAAAGGCCATTTTTATGGGTGGAAAAAAGAAATTTTGGGGAAATCGAGGATTTTTGAGGGGAAAAAGCCATTTTAGAGGGCGGGATAGAGGAATTCTTGGGAAATCGGGGATTTGTGAGGGGAAAAGTCCATTTTTGAGGGTGGAAAAAAGAAATTTTGGTGAAATCAGGGATCTTTGAGGAAAAAAGGCCATTTTTGAGGGTGGAAAAAAGAAATTTTGGGGAAATGGGGGATTATTGAGGAAAAAAGGCTATTTTTGAGCGCAAAAAGGGAATTTTTAGGGAAATCAGGGATTTTTGAGGAAAAAGGTCAGTTTTAAGGGCAGAAAAAATAAATGTTGGGGAAATCAGGGATTTTTGAGGGAAAAAAGCCTGTTTTTGAGGGAAAATTGAGGGGAAAAAGCCATTTTTAAGGGCAGAAATAAGCAATTTTGGGGAAATCAGGGATTCTTGAGGGAAAAAGGCCCATTTTTAAGAGTGGAAAAAATAAATTTTGGGGAAATCAGGGATTTTTGAGGGAAAAAGGCCATTTTTAAGAGTGGAGAAAAGAAATTTTGAGGAAATCAGGGATTTTTGATGGAAAATTGAGGGGAAAAGGCCTATTTTAAGGGTGGAAAAAAGAAATTTTGGGGAAATTGAGGATTTTTGAGGGAGAAAGGCCATTTCTGAGGGAAAATTGAGGGGAAAGGCCATTTTTAAGGGCGGAAATAAGCAATTTTGGGGAAATCAGGGATTTTTGAGGGAAAAAGGCCATTTCTGAGGGAAAATTGAGGGGAAAGGCCATTTTTAAGGGCGGAAATAAGCAATTTTGGGGAAATCAGGGATTTTTGAGGGAAAATTGAGGGGGAAAGGCCATTTTTAAGGGCGGAAAAAAGGATATTTTGGGAAATCGGGGATTTTTGAGGGAAAAAGGCCATTTCTGAGGGAAAATTGAGGGGAAAGGCCATTTTTAAGGGCGGAAATAAGCAATTTTGGGGAAATCAGGGATTTTTGAGGGAAAATTGAGGGGAAAAAGCCATTTTTAAGGGCAGAAAAAAGGAAATTTGGGGAAATCTGGGATTTTTGAGGGGAAAAGGCCATTTTTAAGGGTGGAAAAAAGGATATTTTGGGAAATCGGGGATTTTTGAGGGAAAAAGGCCATTTCTGAGGGAAAATTGAGGGGGGAAGGCCATTTTTAAGGGTGGAAAAAAGGAAATTTTGGGAAATCGGGGATCTTTGAGGGAAAAAGGCCATCTTTGAAGGTGGAAAAGAGGAATTTCTGTCCCTCTGAGGGCCAAGGGCGGTTGTGAGGGAAGGAGGGCACCTTTGCAGGATTTGGGGAAATCAGGGATTTTTGAGGGAAAATTGAGGGGGAAAGGCCATTTTTGAGGGTGGAAAAGAGGAATTTTTGTCCGGTGGTGAGGGAAGGAGAGCAGCTTTGCAGGGGGAAAGGAGGGTGTGGGGCACTCACGTCGTCGGGCCGGGTGAGCACGAGGCTGCGGGCGTCCTCAGGGGGGAAGTGCAGGTGGGGCATCCCCCGCTGGCGCTCCTGCTCCTCGGGCAGCAGCGGCCGCACGCGGCAGAACACGCGGATGTTCCCCTGGGAGAGCAGAAAAATATGGGATTGGGGCGTGGAACCCAGGGGTGTTCTCCTGGGGAGAGCAAAAAATGGGATTGAGGTGTGGAACTCAGGGGTGTTCCCCTGGGAAACAAAAGAAATGGGATTGAGGTGTGGAACCCAGGGGTGTTCCCCTGGGAAACAAAAAAAATGGGATTGAGGTGTGGAACCCAGGGGTGTTCCCCTGGGAAACAAAAGAAATGGGATTGAGGTGTGGAACCCAGGGGTGTTCCCCTGGGAAACAAAAGAAATGGGATTGAGGTGTGGAACCCAGGGGTGTTCCCCTGGGAAACAAAAAAAATGGGATTGAGGTGTGGAACTCAGGGGTGTTCCTCTGGGGAGAGCAAAAAAAATGGGATTGAGGCGTGGAACTCAGGGGTGTTCCTCTGGGGAGAGCAAAAAAAATGGGATTGAGGCGTGGAACTCAGGGGTGTTCCTCTGGGAAACCAAAAAAATGGGATTGAGGGGTGGAACTCAGGGGTGTTCCTCTGGGGAGAGCAAAAAAAATGGGATTGAGGCGTGGAACTCAGGGGTGTTCCTCTGGGAAACCAAAAAAATGGGATTGAGGTGTGGAACCCAGGGGTGTTCCCCTGGGAAACCAAAAAGATGGAGGTGTGGACCTCAGGGGTGTTCCCCTGGGAAACCAAAAAAATGGGATTGGGGCGTGGAACCCAGGGGTGTTCTCCTGGGGAGAGCAAAAAATGGGATTGAGGTGTGGAACTCAGGGGTGTTCCCCTGGGAAACAAAAGAAATGGGATTGAGGTGTGGAACCCAGGGGTGTTCCCCTGGGAAACAAAAAAAATGGGATTGAGGTGTGGAACTCAGGGGTGTTCCTCTGGGAAACAAAAATTATGGGATTGAGGCATGGAACTCAGGGGTGTTCCCCTGGGAAAACCAAAAAAATGGGATTGAGGGGTGGAACTCAGGGGTGTTCCTCTGGGGAGAGCAAAAAAAATGGGATTGAGGCGTGGAACTCAGGGGTGTTCCTCTGGGAAACCAAAAAAAATGGGATTCAGGCACTGAATTAATGGATGTTCCCCTGGAAAACCAAAAAAATGGGATTGAGGTGTGGAACTAGGGGTGTTCCTCTGGGAAACCAAAAAAAAAATGGGATTCAGGCACTGAATTAATGGATGTTCCCCTGGAAAAACAAAAAAGGATTCAGGCATGGAACTCATGGGTGAGTTGTGAGTTTTCCCCTAGGAAAAAAAAAAACCTGGGATTCAGACGTAGAACTCATGGGTGTTCCCCTGGAAAAACAAAAATTATATAGGATTGATATAGGAACTCATGGATATTCCCCTGGAAAAACCCAAAAAATGGGATTTAGGCATTAAGATCATGGATGTTGCCCTGGGGAAAAAAAAAGAAAAAAAAAAAAAAAAAAAAAAAAAAAAAAAAAAAAAAAAAAAAAAAAAAAAAAAAAAAAAAAAAAAAAAGCTTCAGACATGGAATTCATGGGTGTTCCCGTGGGAAAACAAAAAAATGGGATTGAGGTGTGGAACTCATGGGTATTCCCCTGGAAAACCCACAAAAATCAGGATTTAGTTATTGGGCCTGGTCCTGGGGGTCTGCCCCCTCAGAAACTGGTGGTCTCCCCTTACACACAACATGTAGATATTCTCCTAAAAAAACCCAAAAAACTGGGATTCAGCTATTGGAGGCAGTCCTAGGGTCTCCCCTTACACAGAACATCCACATATTCCCCTGGAAAACCCCCAAAAAATTGAGATTCAGTCATTAGGCCCAGTCCTGAGAGGGTCTCCCCCTCAGGAACTGGGGCTCTGCCCTCACACAGAACACGCAGATGTTTCCCCAGAAAAACCTCCATAAAACCAGGATTCAGCCCTTAGGGACAGTCCCAGGGGTCTCCCCTCACACAGATATCCTCCTGAAAAACCCCAAAAAAATCAGGATTCAGTCTTTGGGCCTGGTCCTGGAGGTCTCCCCCCTCAGAAACTGAAGTCTTCCCTCACACAGAAAACACAGATATTTTCCTGGTAAATCCCACAAAACTGGGATTCAGCCCTCAGGGACAGTCCCAGGGGTCTCTCCTCATACAGAACATGCAGATAATCCCCTGGAAAACCCCAAGAAATCGGGATTTAGTCGTTGGGCCTGGTCCTGGGGGTCTCTGCCCTCAGGAACTGGGGGTCTCCCCTCACACAGAACATGCAGATAATCCCCTGGAAAACCCCAGGAAATTGGGATTTAGTCATTGAGCCTGGTCCTGGGGCATCTCTCCCCTCAGGAACTGGGGGTCTCCCCTCACACAGAACATGCAGATAATCCCCTGGAAAACCCCAAGAAATCAGGATTCAGTCGTTTGGCCTGGTCCTGGGGGTCTCCCCCCTCAGGAACTGGAGGTCTGCCCTCACACAGAACATGTAGATAATCTCCTAGAAAACCCAAAAAAACTGGGATTCAGCTATCGGGGACAGTCTCAGGGTCTCCCCTCATGCAAAAGACGCAGATATTCCCCTGGAAAACCTCAACAAATCAGGATTCAGTCGTTTGGCCTGGTCCTGGGGGTCTCCCCCCTCAGGAACCGGGGGTCTCCCCTCACGCAGAACACACAGACATTTTCCTGCTAAACCCCACAACGTCAAAAAAATCGAGATTTAGTCGTTGGGCCTGGTCCTGGGGGTCTCTGCCCTCAGGAACCGGGGGTCTCCCCTCACGTAGAACACACACATTTCCCTGACAAAACCCCACAAAAAAGGGATTCATGCCTTGTGGCCTCCCCCTGAGGAACTTCCCCAGAGAACACGCGGTCATTGCCCTGAAGCAAACCCCCATATCCCACCCTGAGCTCCTGGACGTCGTTGTGCAGGCGGCGCCGCTCCATCTCCAGCAGGTGGATGCGCTCCTCGTGCTCGGCCAGCAGCGTCCTCTGCGAGGCCTCCAGCTCCTGCAGCGCCGACACCTGACCCTGCTTCTCCTGCAGCTGCTGCTGCGTCTGCTGCAGCTGCGCCTGGGGGCCAACAATGCAAAAACCCCTAAAATCCCCATTCCCCCCCTCACTTCTGAGGTGCTCAGTAGAGAAACTGGTGAAAAAATCCAATTTTTCCTCAGATTTTATGACATTCCCCAACGGATTTGAGGTTAAAATGAGCGAAATTGATGCAAATTCCCATATTTTGAGGCGTTTTCTGAGGGATTTTGCCACAATCCACACAAAGCCCTCATTTTCCCGCCTTTTTTGGCGCCCCCTAGCAGATCTCGAGTTGAAACCCAGTAAAAATGATTCAAATTCCCATTTTTTCCTCACATTTTGAACACCCTGAGGGATTTCAGGTGCAAAATCAGTTAAGTTGTTGAAAATTTCCATTTTCCAAAAATTTCCCTGCATTTTTTGGCACTCCCTGAGAAATTTTGACACCAAAAAAATCCGGAATTGACACAAACCCTTCATTTTCCCAACTTTCTCTGGCGCTTCTGGTGGGTTTCAGCCTGGAGAACAACTGAACAGCTCTAAAATTCCAGTTTTTCATTAATTTTGAAGCACCCTCAGGGATTTTGCTTGCAAAAGCAGCTGAATTGGTAAAAGTTCACATTTTTCCTACATTGTGAGGAATCCTCTGAAGAATCTTTGACACCAAAAAGCCAGAATTGCCACAAACCCTCATTTTTCTGCTGTTTTCTGGGGCCTCTGGAGCAACAAAATGGCTCCAAATTCCCATGTTTTTGTGGATTTTGAAGCACACCCTGAGGGATTTTGGCTGCAAAAGCAGCTGAATTGGTCAAAATTCACATTTCTTTCAAATTTTGAGGCACCCCCTGAAGGATTCCCACACCAAAAAACCTGGAATTGGAGTAAATCCCACATTTTCCTGCATTTTTCTGGCCCTTCAGAGCAACAAAACATCTCAAAATTCCTGGGTTTTTGCAGATTTTGAAGCACCCTCTGAGGGATTTTGGGTGCAAAAGCAGCTGAATTAGTGAAAATTCCCATCTTTCCCAAGTTTTGAGGTTCTCCTGAAGGATTCTGACCCCAAGAAAGCCGGAATTGGCGCAAACCCCACATTTTCACGCCTTTTTTGGTGCCCCCTGATGGATTTCAGGTCAGAGAGCAACAAAACAGCTCCAAAATCCCTGGTTTTTACACATTTTCAGGAACCCTTGAGGGATTTGGGGGGCAGAAGCAGCTGAATTGGTGAAAATTCCCATTTCTGCCACATTTCAAGGCACTTTCAGGGCGATTTTGGTGCCAAAAAAGCCCGAATTGGTGCCAAGCCCTCATTTTCCCGCCCTTTTTGGCGCCCCCTGGCGGATTTTCCCCTCACAGCTTCCCGCCATTTTTTGCCAATCCCCTCAACAACGGACCCCAGACCAGAGCAACAAAACGGCCCCAAATTCCCGTTTTCTCAGGGGTTTCTCAGGAATTCCGGGCCCCACCTCAGTGTTCTCCAGCTGCTCCGACAGCGCCCGAGCCCGGCCCAGGGCCTCGTCCCTCTCCTGCCGCCGCTGCTCCTCCTCCGCCTGCAGCCGCTGCACCTTGGCCTCCAGAGCCTCCTCCCGGCCCCGGCTCTGCTCCAGCTCCTCGCGGCACTGCGACACCTCCAGCTCCAGGGAGCTGCTCCAGGGAAATGGGACAACGCCATAAAACTGGGGAGTCATGGATTTCAGGGAACTTGGAGGCGTTTTGGGTAAGTTTCTTGAGGGGTTTTGGGGTAATCCGGGGATCCCGCGCAATCTTCAGGAGGGTTCTGAGGGAGTTTTGGAGATCCTGAGGGGATTTGGGGCATTTTCAGAAGGTTTCTGAGGGAATTATTGGGATTTTCAGGGGTTTTGAGGGGATTCGGAGAATTTCCAGAAGGTTTCTGAGGGTATTTTGAGGATCTTGAGGGAGTTGGAGCCCCGGCTCTGCTCCAGCTCCTTACAGCACTGCGACACCTCCAGCTCCAGGGAGCTGCTCCAGGGAAACAGCAATCCATAAAACTGGGGAATCCCAGATTTCAGGGAACTTGGAGGAGTTTCGGGTAAGTTTCTTGAGGGGTTTTGGGATAATCTGGGGATCCCATGCAATGTTCAGGAGGGTTCTGAGGGAGTTTTGGAGATCCTGAGGGGATTTGGGGCATTTTCAGGGATTTTCAGAAGGTTTCTGACAGAATTATTGGGATCTTGAGGGGTTTTGAGGGGATTCGGAGAATTCCCAGAAGGGTTCTGAGGGAATTTTGAGGATCTTGAGGGAGTTGGAGCCCCGGCTCTGCTCCAGCTCCTCACGGCACTGCGACACCTCCAGCTCCAGGGAGCTGCTCCAGGAAAACGACAATCCATAAAACTGGGGAATCCCGGATTTTAGAGGAGTTCAAGGTGTTTTTTCTAAGTTTCTTGAGGGGTTTTGGGGTAATCCGGGGATTTTGCCCAATCTTCAGGAGGGTTCTGAGGGAGTTTTGGAGATCCTGAGGGGATTTGGGGAATTTTCAGAGATTTTCCAAAGGATTCTGAGGGATTTTTGGGGATCTTCAGGGGTTTTGAAGGGATTTGGTGAATTTTCAGGGATTTTCTAAAGGGTTCTGAGAGAATTATTGGGATCTTCAGGGGTTTTGAGGGGATTCGGAGAATTCCCAGAAGGGTTCTGAGGGAATTTTGAGGATCTTGAGGGAGTTGGAGCCCTGGCTCTGCTCCAGCCCCTTACAGCACTGCGACACCTCCAGCTCCAGGGAGCTGCTCCGGGGAAACAAAAATCCATAAAACTGGGGAATCCCAGATTTTAGAGGAGCTCAAGGCGTTTTGGGGAAGTTTCTTGAGGGGTTTTGGGATAATCCTGGGATTCCGTGCAATCTTCAGGAGGGTTCTGAGGGAATTATTGGGATCTTCAGGGGTTTTGAGGAATTTTCAGGGATTTTTCGGAGGGTTCTGAGGGAATTATTGGGGATCTTGAGGGAGTTTGGAGCAACTTGTGGAAATTTCAGGGATTTTCAGAAAGGTTCTGTGGGAATTTTGGGGATCTTTAGGAGTTTTGGAAAATTTCAGGGATTTTTGGAAGGGTTCTGAGGGAATTTTGAGGATCTTGAGGCATCTTGGAATGGTTCAGGGAATTTTCAGAAGGGTTCTAAGGGAATTTTGGCAATCTTGAGGGAGCTTGGAGCAATTTGTAGAAATTTCAGGGATTTTTGGAAGGGTTCTGAGGGAATTTTGTCAATCTTGAGGGGTTTTGAAGGGATTTGGGGAAATTTCAGGGATTTTCAAAATGGCTGAGGGAATTTTGGGGCTATTAGGAAAATTTCGGGGATTTTCCGAAGGGTTCTGAGGGAATTTTGGGTATCTCAAATTCCAAAAGAAAATCTGGGGGGAATGTGGGATAATTTGGGGGATTTTGAGAGAATTGCAGGATCTTTTGAAGGCCTTTAGAGATATTTTGAGGGGATCTTGAGAAGATCTAGGAAAAGTCACATTTTGAGGATTTGAGGTGAATTGGGATTTTTTTAGGAAGGTTTTAGGGAACACAAGGATGGATCTTGGATGGATCTTTATATGGATTTTGGTTGTTTTTTTTTTTCTCAGCATTCCCGCTCCTCCCAGAGCAGGATTTTAAGGGATTTGGGGCAGTTTTTATGGATTTTGGGTAGTTTTGATGGATTTTAGTCAAGCTTTGATGGATTTTGAGGCAGCTTTGAGGGATTTTGGTCAGGTTTGGATGGATTTTGAGACAGTTTGGATATTTTGAGGATCTTGAGGGAGTTGGAGCCCTGGCTCTGCTCCAGCCCCTTACAGCACTGCGACACCTCCAGCTCCAGGGAGCTGCTCCGGGGAAACAAAAATCCATAAAACTGGGGAATCCCAGATTTTAGAGGAGCTCAAGGCGTTTTGGGGAAGTTTCTTGAGGGGTTTTGGGATAATCCTGGGATTCCGTGCAATCTTCAGGAGGGTTCTGAGGGAGTTTTGGAGATCCTGAGGGGATTTGGGGAATTTTCAGAGATTTTCTGATGGGTTCTGAGGGAATTATTGGGATCTTCAGGGGTTTTGAGGGGATTCAGGGAATTTTCAGGGATTTTTCGGAGGGTTCTGAGGGAATTTTGAGGATCTTGAGGCATCTTGGAATGGTTCAGGGAATTTTCAGAAGGGTTCTAAGGGAATTTTGGCAATCTTGAGGGAGCTTGGAGCAATTTGTAGAAATTTCAGGGATTTTTGGAAGGGTTCTGAGGGAATTTTGTCAATCTTGAGGGGTTTTGAAGGGATTTGGGGAAATTTCAGGGATTTTCAAAATGGCTGAGGGAATTTTGGGGCTATTAGGAAAATTTCGGGGATTTTCCGAAGGGTTCTGAGGGAATTTTGGGTATCTCAAATTCCAAAAGAAAATCTGGGGGGAATGTGGGATAATTTGGGGGATTTTGAGAGAATTGCAGGATCTTTTGAAGGCCTTTAGAGATATTTTGAGGGGATCTTGAGAAGATCTAGGAAAAGTCACATTTTGAGGATTTGAGGTGAATTGGGATTTTTTTAGGAAGGTTTTAGGGAACACAAGGATGGATCTTGGATGGATCTTTATATGGATTTTGGTTGTTTTTTTTTTTCTCAGCATTCCCGCTCCTCCCAGAGCAGGATTTTAAGGGATTTGGGGCAGTTTTTATGGATTTTGGGTAGTTTTGATGGATTTTAGTCAAGCTTTGATGGATTTTGAGGCAGCTTTGAGGGATTTTGGTCAGGTTTGGATGGATTTTGAGACAGTTTGGATTATTTTGGTCAGGTTTGGATGGATTTTGGAACAGATTTGATGGATTTTGGGGCAGCTTGGATGGATTTGGGGCAGATTTGATGGATTTTAGTAAGCATTTGGAGGATTTTGGGGCAACATAGATGTATTTTGGTACAGTTTGGATGAATTTTGTCCAGAAGGGTTCTGAGGGAATTTTGAGGATCTTGAGGGAGTTTGAGCCCCGGCTCTGCTCCAGCTCCTCACGGCACTGCGACACCTCCAGCTCCAGGGAGCTGCTCCAGGAAAACGACAATCCATAAAACTGGGGAATCCCGGATTTTAGAGGAGTTCAAGGTGTTTTTTCTAAGTTTCTTGAGGGGTTTTGGGGTAATCCGGGGATTTTGCCCAATCTTCAGGAGGGTTCTGAGGGAGTTTTGGAGATCCTGAGGGGATTTGGGGAATTTTCAGAGATTTTCCAAAGGATTCTGAGGGATTTTTGGGGATCTTCAGGGGTTTTGAAGGGATTTGGTGAATTTTCAGGGATTTTCTAAAGGGTTCTGAGAGAATTATTGGGATCTTCAGGGGTTTTGAGGAATTTTCAGGGATTTTTCGGAGGGTTCTGAGGGAATTATTGGGGATCTTGAGGGAGTTTGGAGCAACTTGTGGAAATTTCAGGGATTTTCAGAAAGGTTCTGTGGGAATTTTGGGGATCTTTAGGAGTTTTGGAAAATTTCAGGGATTTTTGGAAGGGTTCTGAGGGAATTTTGAGGATCTTGAGGCATCTTGGAATGGTTCAGGGAATTTTCAGAAGGGTTCTAAGGGAATTTTGGCAATCTTGAGGGAGCTTGGAGCAATTTGTAGAAATTTCAGGGATTTTTGGAAGGGTTCTGATGGAATTTTGGGGCAGTTTGGATGGATTTAGGTCAGGTTTGGATGGATTTTGGTCAGGTTTTGATGGATTTTGGGGCAGTTTGGATGATTTTGGTTAAGTTTTGAGGCAGCTTGGATGGATTTTGGCCTCTCGCGGCTCTCGCTCTGGCCCAGCTCGCTCTGCAGCTGCTGCAGGCGCTCTCTCAGCTGCCTCCTCTCGCTCTCCAGCTGCCGTTTCTCGCTGTCCAGCCCCTGCAGCCGCTCCTGCGCCTGGCCCAGCGCCCCCCGCAGGTCCCCCAGCTGTCCCCGCAGGTCCCACGGCGGCCGCTTGGACGTGCCCTGGGTGCTCGCCGTGCTGGGGACAGAGCCTGGGACACGGGCATGGGGACACTGGAGGGAGTGGGGACATGGTGGGGGTTGGGGACACGGGGAGGGGACTGGGGACACAGGGCGTTGGGGACATGGTGGGACTGGGGACATCAGGAGGGGACTGGGGACATGGGGGGTTGGGGACATTGGGAGAGGGATGGGGGACATCGGGAGGGACTGGGGACACGGGAGGGGAGCGGGGACACAGGAAAGGGACGGGTGACATCGGGAGAGGGATGGGGGACACGGGGGGTTGGGGACACCCGGAGGGAGCCTTGGGGCCGTGAGCTCCTGGGCCCTGGGGACATTGGGAAGGGCTGGGGACTTCAGGAGGGCCTTGGGGACACTGGGGCCAGGGACAGGGTGGCCTTGGGGACACTGAGAGGGGCTTGGGGGTGACAAAGGAGACCCTGGGGACATCAGGAGGGGATCCTGGGGCACAGGAGAGGGACCTGGGGACATGAGAGGGGGGACCTGGGGACACTGGAGAGGGGTTGGGGACACTGGGAAGGGTCCTGGGGACACCGGGGGGGTCTCAGTCTCACCTGCCCGAGGAGCAGCCGCCACTGACACTGCCTTGCGGGGGACAGCTGGGGACACAGACACAGGGACATTGGGGACATTGGGGACACTGGGACACAGACAGTGGGACATTGGGGACACTGGGGACATTGGGGACACTGGGACAGGGACATTGGGGACACTGGGACACAGTGGGGACACAGACACAGGGACATTGGGGACATTGGGGACACTGGGACACAGTGGGGACACAGACACAGGGACATTGGGGACACTGGGGACACAGGGACACAGGGACATTGGGGACATTGGGGACACTGGGACAGCTGGGGACACAGACACAGGGACATTGGGGACACTGGGGACAGTGGGGACACAGGGATAGTGGGGGCACACAGGGACATTGGGGACACAGACAGTGGTGACACAGACAGTAGGACAGTGGGGACACAGGGACAGTGGGGACACAGGAACAGTGGGGACACAGACAGTAGGACAGTGGGACACAGGGACAGTGGGGACACTGGGGACACACGGGGACATCGGGGGGTTTGAGCCCCTTGCCCCCCCAGGTCCCACTGCCCCCCCAAACCCCCTTAACATCCCCGAATGTGCCCAAAGCCCCGATGGGGCGTGGCCTGAGACCAAGCCCCGCCCACAGCGTCCGAACATCCCCAAATTTACCCAAAATATCCTCAAATTTACCCAAAACACCAACAAATCCACCCAAAATATCCACAAATCAACCCAAAATATCCACAAATCAACCAAAATATTCCTAAATCAACCCAAAATATCCCCCAAACCACCCAAAATATCCACAAATCAACCCAAAATATCCCCAAATCAACCTAAAATATCCCTAAATCCACCCAAAATATCCCGAAATCCATGCAAAATATCCCCAAATCCGCCCAAAATCCACCCAAAATATCCCCAAATCAACCTAAAATATTCCTAAATCCACCAAAAATATTCCTAAATCCACCAAAAATATCCCCAAAACCACCCAAAATATCCACAAATTTACCCAAAACCTCCTCAAACCGCCCAAAACACCCCCAAATCCACCCCAAACTTCCCCAAATCTGCCCAAAACCTCCAAAAATCCACTGAAAATATCTCTAAATCCGCCCAAAATATCCACATATCCACCAAAAATATCCACATATGCACAAAAATATCCACAAATCCACCCAAAATATCCCCAACTCCGCCCAAAAAATATCACCAGCTCTACCCAAATATCTCCAACTCCACCCAAAACCTCCCCAAAGTGCTTACAGTATTCCCAAATCCACCCAAATATCCCCAAATCCACCCTAAATCCACCCAAAACATCCCCAAATCCACCCAAATGTCTCCAAATTCTCCTAAAACCTCCCCAAATCCACCCAAACCCCCCAAACCTCTCCCAGACCCCCCCGTCACCCCCAAATTCCCCCAAAACCCCGAGGCCCTCCCAAATCCCTCCTCAGGCTCCCCAAATCGCCCCTAAATTTCCCTCCAAACCCCTCTAAACCCCAAAAGTTTCCCCTAAATTCCCCGAAATCCTCCAAAACCCCAAAATTTTCCCCCCAAAACCCCGAATTTTTTCCCCAATTCCGCGCGGGACGGGGGGGCAAATGGGGCGTGGCTTGAGATGTGGGGGCGTGGTCATTGTATGGGCGTGTCTTTGTCCTGGTGGGCGTGGCCTCTGAGGTCGCGGATAGTCTGATTGTTAAGTGGGCGTGGCCGTGGGCGTGGCCTGTGCGGCTGACGGTTCTTGAGTGTTAAGTGGGCGTGGCCGTGGGCGTGGCCTGTGCGGCTGACGGTTCTTAAGTGTTAAGTGGGCGTGGCCATGGGCGTGGCCTGTGCTGCCGCAGGGACGCTGACAGTTAAGTGGGCGTGGCCTGCGCGCTGTGGGCGTGGCCCCGCCCTCCGCCGCAGCGACCGCGGGCGCGCTAAGGGGGCGTGGCCTCACCCCCCAGTGGGCGTGGCCCCGCGCAGTGGGCGTGGCCCGAGCCCGGCGGGGCGGCCCCGCCGCGGGGGGGGCGGATTTTGGGGCCGTTTTTGGGGTCTCCTCCCAAACTGGGACCCCCAAACCGGGAACCTCAAACTGGGACCCCACCTTAAACTGGGAACCCCAAACCGGGAACCCCAAACTGGGACCCCAAACTGGGACCTTTCCCCAAACTGGGATCCCCAAATTAGGACCCCCAAACTGGGAACCCCAAACGGGGAACGCCAAACTGGGACCCCTCCCCAAACCGGGAACCCCAAACTGGGACCCCAAGCTGGAACCTTTCCCCAAACTGGGATCCCCAAATTAGGACCCCCAAACTGGGAACCCCAAACGGGGAACGCCAAACTGGGACCCCTCCCCAAACCGGGAACCCCAAACTGGGACCCCAAGCTGGAACCTTTCCCCAAACTGGGATCCCCAAATTAGGACCCCCAAACTGGGAACCCCAAACTGGGAACCCTCTCAAACTGGGAACGCCCCAAACTGGGACCCCCAAACTGGGACCCCTCTCAAACTGGGAACACCCCAAACTGGGACCCCCAAACTGGGACCCCCAAACTGGGAACCCCAAACTGGGCCCCCAAACTGGGACCTTTCCCCACACTGGGACCCCCCCAAAAAGTGAACCCCAAACTGGGACACGCCTCCACAAAACTGGGACCCCTCCTCAAACTGGGAACCCTCTCAAACTGGGACCCCCTTCAAACTGGGACCCCTCCCCAAAGCGCCCCCGCCCCTGTTCCCGTTTTTGGGGTGCCAGCGCCGTGTGGCCCCGCAGCCCCGGGTGCGATGGCGGCCGCCGGGGGGGGCTCGCCCCCCCAGAGCCCCCCGAAGCCCCCCCAGGTCGGGGAGGGGCAGGACGTGCTGGCGCGCTGGACGGACGGGCTGCTCTACCTGGGCGTCGTCAAGAAGGTGGGACCCCACACCCGGACACCCCAAAGAGCCCCAAAACGGCCCCGAAACGGCCCCAAACAGCCCCAAAACCGGCCCCATAACAGCCCCAAAACTGGCCCTGAAACAGCCCCAAAACACCCGGAAACAGCCCCGAAAACGGCCCCAAAACAGCCCCAAAAACGGCCCCATAACAGCCCCAAAACTGGCCCTGAAACGGCCCCAAAACACCCGGAAAGAGCCCCAAAACTGGCCCTGAAACAGCCCCAAAACACCCCGAAAGAGCCCCAAAAACGGCCCCAAAATGGCCCCAAAAACGGCCCCAAAATGGCCCCAAAAATGGCCCTGAAACACCCCGAAAGCGCCCCAAAAACGGCCCCAAAAATGGTCCCAAAACTGCCCCAAAAACGGCCCCAAAACACCCAGAAAGGGCCCCAAAAACGGCCCCAAAAACGGCCCCAAAACACCCGGAAAGAACCCCAAAACCAGCCCCAAAACGGCCCCAAAGCAGCCCCAAAAACAGCCCCAAACACCCAGAAAGAGCCCCAAAAACAGCCCCAAAACAGCCCTAAAAACAGCCCTGAAACATCCAGAAAGAGCCCCAAAAACGGCCCCAAAACATCCCCAAAACACCCGGAAAGAGCCCCAAAAACGGCCCCAAAACGGTCCCAAAAATGGCCCCAAAACACCCAGAAAGAGCCCCGAAAACGGCCCCAAAAACAGCCCTAAAAACGGCTCCGAAACAGCCCCAAAAATGGCCCCAAAACGGCCCCAAAACACCCTGAAAGCACCCCAAAAACGGCCCCAAACAGCCCCAAAAATGGCCCCAAAACGGCCCCAAAACACCCTGAAAGCACCCCAAAAACGGCCCCAAACAGCCCCAAAAATGGCCCCAAAACGGCCCCAAAACACCCTGAAAGCACCCCAAAAACGGCCCCAAACAGCCCCAAAAATGGCCCCAAAACGGCCCCAAAACACCCTGAAAGCACCCCAAAAACGGCCCCAAACAGCCCCAAAAATGGCCCCAAAACGGCCCCAAAACACCCTGAAAGCACCCCAAAAACGGCCCCAAACAGCCCCAAAAATGGCCCCAAAACCAGCACCCAAAAACGGCCCTGGAACAACCCCAAAAATGGCACCGAAACACCCGGAAAGCACCCCAAAAATGGCCCCAAAACAGCCCCAAAACACCCCGAAAGAGCCCCAAAAACGGCCCCAAAACGGCCCTGGAACAGCCCCAAAACCAGCCCTCAACCAGCCCAAAACCCAGCTCCAAATCAAGCCTAAATCACCCCAAAACCAGCCCTAAAACAGCTCAAAACCAGCCCTAAGCACCCCAAAAACAGCCCAGAAACCACCAAACCCAAACCCAATCCCAGCCCAAACCCAAACCCAAACCCAAACCCAACCCCAAATCAGCCCAAATCCAGCCCAAATCCAGCCCAAATCCAACCCCAAACCCAGCCCAAACCCAAACCCAAACCCGGCCCAAACCCAAACCCAAACCCGGCCCAAACCCAAACCCAAACCCGGCCCAAAGTGAGTCCCCAAACCAGTCCTAAACCAGCCCCAAAACCAGCCCCAAATCAGCCCAAAATTAGGCTTTAAACAGCCCCAAAATTTCCAAAACCAGCCCCAAAAATCATCCTAAAACTAGCTAGAAAAACAACCCCAAACCTGCCAAAAATGAGACAAAACCCTGCCCCAAAACAGCCCAAAAAACAAAACAAAACAAACCAGCCCAAAAGATCCCAAAAATCAGAGCAAACCCAAGCCCAAAAGAGCACAAAAATCAGCCTAAAATGAGTGGAAAACCAGCCCCACATGGCTGAAAAATGATCCTAAACCAGTCCCAAAACAGCCCCAAAATATCCCTAAACCAGCCCCAAAATAACCCTAAACCAGGACAAAAATAGCCCCAAAATAACCCAAAACCAGCCCCAAAATAACCCTAAACCAGGACAAAAATAGCCCCAAAACTGCCCCAAAATAACCCAAAACCAGCCCCAAAATAACCCTAAACCAGGACAAAAATAGCCCCAAAACTGCCCCAAAATAACCCAAAACCAGCCCCAAAATAACCCTAAACCAGGCCAAAAACGGCCCCAAACGAGCCCAAGTATCAGCCCCAAACGAGCCCTAAACACCCCAAAACCACCCCAAAATATCCCAAAACCAGCTCAAAACACCCCAAAACCACCTTTAAACACCCTGAAACATCATCCCAAAACATCCCAAAACAGCCCAAAACACCCTAAGACCACCCCAAAATCAGCCCAAAACACCCTAAACCACCCCAAAAGCAGCCTAAAACACCCAAAACCTCCCCAAAATATCCCAAAACCAGCCCAAAACACCCCAAAACCAGCCCTAAAACACCCTAAAACCACACCAAAACATCCCCAAAACAGCTCAAAACACCCTAAAACCACCTTTAAAGACCCTGAAACCATCCCAAAACATCCCAAAACCAGCCCAAAACACCCTAAAACCACCCCAATACCAGCCCAGCCCAAAACCACCTGTAAAACACCCCAAAATCCACCCCGAAAACATCCTGAAACCAGCCCTAAAACTCCCCCAAACCGCCCTGAAAACACCTCAAAACCAGCCTGAACCACCCCAAAAACACCCTAAACTCCCCAAA